TTGGGGGTGTTAATTTTATATCCTGCCACTACATTTCTGAATGTATTTATCAGCTCTAGGAGTTTTCTGGAGGAGTCTTTAGGGTCTTTTATGAATACAATCATAACTTCTGCAAATAAGGATGCTTTGACTTCTTCCTTTCCAACTTGTATCCACTTTATCTCCTTCATTTGTCTTATTGCTCTAGCTAAGACTTCAAGTACTTTTTGAACAGAAGTGGAGAGAGTGAACATCCGTGTCTTGTTTGTGGCTTTAATGGGAATTTTTTAATTTTTTTCTTCATTTAATATGATGTTGGATGTGGGCTTGTTATATATTGCCTTTGTTATGTTGAGATATGCCCCTGTCCTCTGTGTCCCTAGATTTCTCCATGAATTTTATCATGAATGGATGTTGGATTTTTTTGTCAAAGGCCTTTTCTGCATCTAATGAGATTATTGTGTGATTTCTGTCCTTAATTCTGTTTATGTGGTAGATTACATTTATTGATTTACCTATGTCAAACCATTCCTATGTCATGGGGATGAAGCATCTTGATCATGTTGGATAATCTTTTTGATGTGTTCTTCTATTTGGTTTGCAAGTATTTTATTGAGAATTTTTGAACTTAGGTTTATCAGAGAGCTTGACATACAATTTTCTTTTTCCTTGGGTGTTTGTATGGTTTGGGTATTAGAATAATACTGGTTTCATAGAAAGAATTTTGGAGTGTTCCTTCCTCACTGAGTAATTTGAGAACTCTTGGTATCAGTTCTTTGAAGGTTTGGTAGAATTCTGTGCTGTATCCATCTCGTCCTGGGCTCTTTTTAGTTGGGAGATTTTTAATTACTGCGTCTATCTCATTGGTTGTTATAGGTCTGTTTAACTTGTGCTTATCATTTTGTTTTCACTTTGGTAGGCCATACATATCTAGAAATTTATCCATTTTTTTAGATTTTCTAGTTTAGTAGAATATAGATTTTTAAAGTCTGTCATTATTTTCTGAATTTCCTCAGGATCTGTTGTAATGTTTTCTTTTTCATCTCTGGTTTGTTAATTGGGTCCTCTCTCTTTTATTTAATTTGGCTAAAGGTTTGTCAATCTTGTTAATCTTTTCAAAAAACTTAGTCTTCGTTTCATTAATTCTTTATATTGTTTTCTTTGTTTCTAGTTCAGTAATATCAACCTTAGTTTTATTTATCTCTTTCCCTTTGCTCTTTTCAGTGTGGTTTGTTCTTGGTTTTCCAAGACTTTCAAGTGTATCATTAATTTGTTTATGTGAGATAATTATAATTTTCTGGTGTAGGTACTTGATGCTATAAATTTCCTCTTAGGACTGCCTTCATTGTGTCCCATAGGTTTTCATATGTTGTGTTATTTTCATCCAATTCTAGGAATTTTTGCTTTCTGAGTCCATTTAGTGCTGCCTATGTGTGCATTTTGTAGTACCATCTACTGGAGCATGGGTCTGTATCCCTGAAGAAACCTGATTCTCTCTCCCCTAGTAGACATCAATTGCCAAAAGCTCCTCAGATAAGAGATGGGACTTCAGAAGCCCCTCCCCTATCCACGCTTAGATTTTGACTGGCTTGATCTTCTGCAAGTCTTGTGCAGTCCCAGCTGCTGTGAGTTGATGTGTGCAATTGTGCTGTAAGTCTGACAAACTACTGTAGATGTCTACTCCCTCTGGCTCTTATAATCCTTCTGCCCCCTCTTCCTAAATGATTCCTAAGTCTTGAAGGAATGGCATGTGATTTGGAGGTCTCATTTAGTGCTGAGAGCTCCACAGTCTCTTTTTCTCTGTATGTTGACTGATTGTTGGTCTCACTATTGATCATAATCTACAAAAAGAAGCTTCTAATGAGGGCTGAGAAATGCATTAATCTGTGGGTATGAAGAGAAGAATGTAGGTCTGTACCAACTTGATGTCCCCATGTTCTATGGCTTAGGTATTGTGGTGTCTTCAGCAATAGAGTCCTACCAGCAAGTTCTAGAGAGCAAGCAAGAGCAGTGTCAATAGCCTGTAATGTTTGGGGGGTAGTCTATGGGACCGCACTAACTAACAACTTGAAAAGAGGTAACTTCTACCTGGCATTGAGCTTTTTATTTGATAGCTCATGTTATCTGGGGGAGGCATTATTCCCCCCAACTGAGGGCAGCTCCATTTAAACTTCTTTTGTGTGTGTGTGTGAATTTTAGAAAACTTCTACAGTAGTGGGTTTCTTTTTTGTTTGATTGGGGGGTTTTGACCTTTTTGAGACAGGGTCACCCTTATAGCCACAGCTGGCCTGGAACTCAATAAGGATCTAGACTGGCCTTTATCTCACATAGATCTGTCCACTTCTGTCTCCCAAGTGCCAGGATTAAAGGTGTGTGGCACCATGCCCAACAGGTTTTGGTTTTTTGAGACATGGTCTCCCTGTAGCCCCAGACCAGGCTGGCCTCAATTTCACAGAGATCTCTGACTCTGCCTCCAAAGTGCTGGGATTAAAGGTGTGAGCCACCACACCTGGCAGTAGTAGGTTTCTTTATGTCATATTCTAAGGCCTTTAGTGTTAGGGTTAAATGGAGTAGGGGATGGGAGGGAAAGGTAGAGGAGGGAGATAGGGAAGGATAATTAACACTAAGACGACTGGTTGTTTTCAGAAAATATTTTACTTTGTGAACCTTAATTGATACACACACTGAAAATGATGTGTTTTTAGTGAATGTTCACATTTTAACCTAAATAATATTTAATGATCTTTTCTATTTCTTAATGCTTGTTAAAGATTTATATTTTAATTCACTTATTCTTAAATTTTTAAGACATAAATGTATGTCTAAAAATGTATCTAGACATTTATATAATGTATAAATGTATCTAGACATTTATATAATGTGTTCATATAGTCAAAACAATATGTATACATTATACATGTATAATGTATAAATGTATCTAGACATTTATATATTGTGTTCATATAGTCAAAGCAATATATTTTATACGTATTATTTAGGCTTGTTTATATTCAGAAGATTAGAAATCTGCTGTTTATTTGACTTTATTCCCTTTTATATAAATTTCCCCAGTATTAGGTTACTCTTGATCAAATGATGGAAATGGAATGTTGCCTGGAGATATTTTGTTACTTGCTTTTGAAATATTGAAGAATGCCTTAATCTCTTCTTTATGTAAACAGTGCAGTGAAACTCTCCTTTTGTTATTGTTTTGGAGACTAGTGGAAGGTTCCCAGATAGTTCACATGTGCTTGCTATTCTTATCAAATTTAAAAAATCTATTCACTTATACATCCTTGGGTAAAATATGGCCTATTTTTACAGAATCCTCCAAAGTGTAGGCAGTGATAGTTTTTATTTCTTACCCTGTGTTCCTTCAGCAAAGGTTTGAATATGAGACTGTGCTGAGTTAAGGGGGTAGAAAGGTTAGACAGCTCTTTTCCTCAAGGAATGCCCAGTGAAGTAGGAATGGATTTAATTTTCTGTTCATATATACACCTACATAAAGCTATGTCTACTAGCCACAGCCCACATTAAGTCAAGAAATACTTGGTTATGGGATATGTAAGAAATAGTGCATGTCTTAGAATGAGTGTTAGGAATATGTTGAGATGTGCAGGGTTAGCACTGATTGAGTGAGTGAAGGAATTTCGGTGGGAAAAATTACTTAGAAGACTGATACTGCTACAGAGGAGGTTTGCTCTTGAAAGATGGATCTTTATTGTTGTAGTAATGAATTTTCTTTTCAGTTTTCTCCGCTGTTTTTTCACCCAAGGCTATATGCATTTCCTGCTGGAAATGTCTCTCTTGCCATTCCTTTCCAGGCTGTGGGAGAGGTAGTGCTGGCAGGCTATGATTGGTTATTTGTATTTTAAATGCCATTAGAAAACCCAATTTGTGGTAGTGTAGTTCTGAGAAGTCCAGGTCTTCTGCTCAATTCAAATAGTAGGCCCGGTTGAGCAGCCTCTCCATTGGCTGTCAGCATGGAACTCAGGAGTATTTGGATCAGGTGACCTGTGGTTTTCCCAGTCTTTATGTAACTAGAAGCAGGATCAGTAGACTGAAGGAGATTCATCATGATGCTGCAAAGATGTATCTCTAGCTTTGCACTTGGGTCATTATCATTTCTAATCAAAAGTTGTAATTAAAGAGGAAGGGTTTTTTTTGCATGTATATGGGTGTGTGGGGTGCATTTATGTGTATGCGTTCTCACATTTGTGTGCCTGCATGTGTGTATGAGTGCATGTGTAGGTCTGAAGTTGATGTTGGGTGCCTTCATGGCTCACTCTCCACTTTATGTATTGAGGCAGGGTCTCAGTTGAACCAAGAGCTTACAGATCAGCTTGTCTAGCCAGCCAGCTTACCCTGGTGTTGCCCTGTCTAGGTCTCCCAAGTGCTGGCATTACAAACAGCCATCATGCCTGTCCAGCTTTCACGTGGATTCTTGAGATCCTGATTCTTTTCCTCACACTTTTATGGCAAGTGCTTTATCCAGTGAGCTATCTCCCTACTGCCAAAGATGAAGGTTTTTTTTGTTTTTGTTTTTGGACAGGATATCATTCTTTAGTCTTGGCTGACTTGGAATTCACTATGTAGACCAGGCTGGCCTGAAACTCAGAGAGATTTAATCCCAGAGTGCTGGGATTGAAGGTGTATGCCACACGCTTTGCCCAAGATGAAGTTCTGATGGTGATTTACCCGTTTGGTAGTAAGAGGATAAAAAATATTTTTGAAAATTTTGTTATTGAGATATAATTCACATCAAATAAAATTTACTGTTTTAAGTGAGAATGCAGGGTTTTGCTTGTTTGTTTGTTTGTTTTGCTTGGTATATTCACAAGGTTGCAACAAACACCAGCATGGATTTCAGAAACACTTCTCCTAGTAGTTACTCCCTCCCAATTTCTCCCACTTCCTCAGGCTGTGACAAGAACTAATATGTGATATTTTCTATCTTTATGAGTTTGTCTATTTTGGAATCTCATAAAAATAAAATGTATCTTTTTTAAAAATTTGTTTAGACACTACGAGAAACATCTTTACCAAATTATGCCACAAATTTGAAAGACAGAAGTTCTTTAGTTTCATCTCTCTATAAAGTTATCCAGGAGCCACAAAGTGAGGTAAGTACTTTAGAGTTGTTGTAATAATGTTCAGTTGATTAATCTGATTTAATTATGAAATATAGCATATGCATGAAAGGTAAGAAAATATGTATGCTTAAAAACAATAATAAGAGTTTCAGTGTACCATTCCCCGAGACAAAAAGTGGAATCCTTATTGTCTTCTACAGGCCGTGTTTCTCAACATTTTCCTTCTCTGTGTGTCTCTGATTCTATAACTTTGAAAACTCTAGGTCACTGCATTTTTTTTTTCCATTCAGCAAATATTTGTGTGCCCATTATGAACCTGATATCGTTGTGGTAGGCTTTAGGGAATCAAAGATCAGTGATAGAAGATTTTTATTCTGAAAGAGAAAGGCAAATGAAAATAGGCAATTGCATGATTTCAAAGCAACACTTAAGTAAGTCTGTAAATGTTGGCTTTACATGTTTATTCCTTCTAAAAATCATTTGGAAACTTAATTGTCATGGTAACAGATCTTAAGAAATAGGGGCCTGGAATATGACTCAGTGGTAGAGCTCTTGCCTAGTGCACACTAGGTTATGGTTTATTTGTATAGAATGTATAAATAGCCTCTTATCTTTAGAATTTTTATTTTTTGAGATAGGGTTTCACTATGTTGCCCAGGCACTCTTGACAAGCGGTCCTCAGCCCCAAATGGCTGGGGCTACAGGGGTGTGCTACCATACAGGGGTGTGCTACCATACCTAGTAGCCCATTTTCTTGAAGGGTTTTGCTCTTTTTAAAAACACCTGGATGCAAGCTGGGAGTGGCAGACCTAGGCTGTAATCTCAGCACTTTGGAGGCTGAGTCAGGAGTATTGTTAAGTCCGAAGCCAGCGTGGGCTGCATAGTAAAGATCCGGACTTTAAAAAAAAAGCTGAAAACTTTAAAAAAGTTTTCTTTGAGTTAAAATTACCCCACGAAGTAAAATAAACATAGCTATATGTATTCTTTAACAAATTAAATCTTGTTTATTATTTGCTGTTTAGTATTTTGAAGAGCTTAAAATATGTTCTCTGTTGAAATGTGTTTTAACCAAGCTACTTTAAAAAGTATTTGTAGGACCAATTTCTGTTTGACTATTTTAATTGACAGCATTCCATTTATTCAGATAACATTAATGAGTATAGCTCTCATGGGTCAGAGGACCACATTGTTGTTATTATTTTTACATCTCCAATTGGTCATCTCTGCCTAGCACACCTTTCACAGCATATGTGAGGCACTATATAAACTGATCTGCACTCTGTTCAGTAAGTCTGCTTATCATTTACCCGGTTGCTGTAACAATCTCAAGTTACTTTGGAAGTTTCAAAAAGTTTCCTGTCAGTTTCTGTATTTGTATTTCTGGGCACTGGGAACAGTCTGAGGATGCTCTGTGGGCTTCAGAAGCACCGCTTTAGGAGGCTTTCCATACAAGTTTATTTTGCTTTTATTCTGATGAATGTGGTAAAGACAGTGTGTATTCTGTGTAGTTAAAAGAAAATTAATCTTTTAAGTACATTTAGAAGTGCTTTTGAAGCAGTGTAATTGACTTTGGTGTTGTTATTCTTGTTTGACCTTCAGAATAGTTTGTGTCTTAATTTGGAAATATTCCTAAAGATTTGATATTGTCTTTAGGCATTTGTGAAACTTAGAACATTGATTATGTTGGTATTTAACATCTGGTAATTTGGAATTTGGATTTTACTAATAGCACTTTTTTATTATTTAGGCTTATTCATTTAACGGATATTTATTGAATACACATAATATATTAGGAGGTGGGTATGTATGTTATATTCAGGAATTTACAGTGAAGTAGCTTACATAGGTATGGTACAGTCTGCTCAAGTGGTTATATTAGTTGGTTTTAACTTTAAGATACATATCTTAAAGGTATTCTGTGCATTAAAGTATATAATAAGATGCTAACAGTGCTCATGTCTATCATGAAAGCACCACTTAATGTCTCTTTGATGTTCTGGGGGCAGGGAATCCAGAGCAAGGAGAGACTGGATACTATTGACTGCTAGTGCCTGAATAGTGTCCTTTCAAGTTTCTGTATCATTTCCTACTCTGTTGATCAGGAATTATTCAATAAAAATTTTGTGAACTTGATTCTTTCAGTGCTTTAGTTAGGCGCATCTCTTGCTTGGTCATTAAAGAACCTTTTGTGTAATGTCTCTGCCATTAGAAATAGCTCTTGATACTTCTTTACTTATGAATGGATTATTATAAAAGTCTATTTGCAACTTAATTGTTTTAGAACTCAGTATGTAATTTTTATTTATTATTAATTGTCCAAGTAATAGGTTTCATGATGACATTTTCATATATGCATATAATGTACTTTCATCCTAGTCTCCTCTTTTCTACTTTTTCTTATTCTCTCTTTCCCTCCTCTGTTTTCTGCTTCCATATCCCAAATAGCCCCTCCTTTTACTTTCTGTCCTTTTATGCCCCTAAATTCCACATATGAGAGAAAATGTGTCACTTGTCTTTCTGATGCTGCTCATTTTGCTTATCGTGAAAATCTCTAGTCCATTTTCCTACTTGATTTTGTTCTTCCTTATGACTGAATAAAACTCAATTTATGCCATATTTCTTTACCCTTTCATCTGTTGATGGTGCAGCACCTAGGCTGAGTCCATAAATTGTGAGAAGCAGTTATTATGAATAGTACCATGGTGAACATGGGTATGCTGACTTTGATTTCTTTGGGTATCTACCCAGAAGTGGTATACCTGAATTATATATAGTTCTATTTTTAATACTTTGAAAAAGATATTTTTTTATTTTTCTCGGTGCTTATGCTAGGCAAATGCTCTGCGACTGAGACACACAGCCCCAGCCAGAACTAAGAATATATATTTAAAATATAGAGAGGATACATGATGATTGGGTTATGTTATCATTACACTTATAGAAAGCTCATCTAGGGACCTGGGGAGATAGCTCAGTTGGTCAAGTGCTTGCCATGCAAGCATGAAGACCTGAGTTCCATCCCCAGAACCCATGAAAAAAACCCGGGCATGGTGATGTATGCTTTTAAAGTACAGGCTTTTCTTAAGTACTCTAATAACCTAATCATCAGATATTTGACAATGTTTCCATGAAGAAATATATTCTAAAATTTGACACAGGTATTAGCGCTCCAACATGTTCTAAGGTTTTATTGCAAACCTCAGATATATTCAAGTTAGATATGCCTGTATTTCCCACACTGTATGTTATTTTATTCCTTTCTATCATTTGTAAACAAAAGACCTGGCTCCTTTCTGGTCCTTGTGAGAGTATGCTGTCCATTGTGGTAGACAGCTTTTTCACCTCTATTTCCTTATTTAGAAAACATAGATAACCATATTTCACTTATAGTTTGTAAAAATTGAACACATTTATGTATACATACTACTTTGCAAGCTATAAAACATTGAACAGCTCCATGATGGAGGGGTGAGACAAAAGACCTGGCTCCTTTCTGGTCCTTGTGAGAGTATGCTGTCCATTGTGGTAGACAGCTTTTTCACCTCTATTTCCTTATTTAGAAAACATAGATAACCATATTTCACTTATAGTTTGTAAAAATTGAACACATTTATGTATACATACTACTTTGCAAGCTATAAAACATTGAACAGCTCCATGATGGAGGGGTGAGACAATGTAAGAAATAAATAATGCCTAGCTAGTTTTGAAAACCAGAGGGAACCATATTACTCCTACATCCTACTGACAAATTATACATAGCAGATCAAGAAATATATGTCTAGGTAAGGTTTATCTGAGAACAATTGGTCTTTGCCCAAGATTTATCTACATGACACACACACACACACAATAATTAA